TAACTTCTGCAAATTAGTTTTTTTTATTATCACTACTTTTCCGGAACTCTCGACATAAAATAGTGAAATTTTAACTTTTTTGAACTAAACCTATTTCACTAATTTGTACAGTGTAATTTCCACTAAATAAATTAGTGCAAAAGAAATCGCTACATGAAAAAGTGAGTATTTACTAATTGCTAGTGGTATACTTATCACTGCGGCAAATAGTTAATATGCACTGTCAATCAGTGAAAATCCAATGTTTCATTTTTAGAGAGTAGGCAGGATAGGCATGATTTAGATCATTTTGGATCTAAATCTCTAAATCCGATCCGATACGGATTTATGATTTAGGATTTAAATCCGATTAAATAAAATGATTTATGATTTAGGATTTAGTTACATTTTGGTACAAGATTTACGATTTAGAATCTAAATCATTTATCTATTTCAGATTTAAATCCAAAAAGTTTAGTTTGACTTACGTAATGTACGTTTTTAAAAATATTATCATAATTTGATTGATGATCTAATATGGCGGTCATTTGTTTGTCGTTCAGCTTTGGATGAAATTTTATAAAAAGTTATTTTTGGGGTAGCTTTGGGGTATCATGATTATGAATTTTATATCAATTTGCAATTGCGGATTCAAAATGGCAGATATCTATGCGCAGTAGGTACCAGATGGTTGGATCTATGCGCAGTGGTTACTGGATGATCGTACCTATGCACAGTAGCTACTAGATGACCGTACCTATGCGCAGTAGTTTTCAGATGGTTGCATCTACGCGCAGTAGTAACGTGCATCTTCGGCTTAAAAAGTTTTACTTTACCTAAGTAATCTTGGCAAACACAACTTTTTTAGTTCGTGTTCAAATTTATACAGAAAAAAGTTTCGTACCTACCTATTTTATCCCAAATATTTTTTGTGTTTTAATTTTATAGCTACTTTTACCACGAGAGAAACGAGACGAGGCACTCTCGAGAGAAGAATATTCTCGTCGAGACGAGGACCCATTTTCCCTCCCTGTACGAGACGAGACAAAAGAAGGACTTCTCTTTTTTTCTCGTTTCTCTATCGCAATCAAGCTAGCAATCATATCTACAATTCAACCCAATTCAACAAAAATCGTCTCTCAATCCTCACAATTCCATTGCAGTCCTGCAATTACTAATTTCAGGTCGTAATCCTCCGAAATAGCAACAATTTAAAAAGAATTCTCCGAAATCACCGAAATCATGGGATTTCGGTCGCAATCCTCCGAAATCACCGCAATCATTCCGAAATCATGGGATTTCCGCAATACGTGTACATATTTTTTGAAGGTGGTTTCCCCCTCGATCCGATATATATCAAGTGCCCTTAAAGCTTCAATACCCGTCTGCGAGGGGTCAACCACTAGCCAGATATTTGTACACGTATTGCCGAACTGCCTATACTGCCAATTACTGCCTCTACTGCCTACTTACTGCCTATGCTGCTTATATTGCTTTTACTGCCTTTACTGCCTACTTACTGCTTATACTGCCTACTTATTGCTCTCACTGCCTATACTGCCTACTTACTGCCTAGTTACTTTCAACATTGCCTTTACTGCCCACACACTGTCCATAGTTTTACATAAATGTATATTATGTCTTTACTTGTGAATTATGAATGTATGTTTATCAAAAAAAAAAAACATCCGAATTTAAAGAATTTAATTTATTGTTCCTTTTTTTACACTTTAAAACCTTAAAATATTTAATGTTTTTATATATTCTAATTGTTTACAATACTTACCAAACAACCACACACAGTTAAACTAATAAGCACAAACACACAAATAAGTTTGCAAAATTAAAACTGATATACCTCGGAACGAGCATCGGAAGATACCAGAACTTACTCTCTTAGAATTAAATAGCCAAAATTCTACTAGGTATTTAAAATAGTACCAGCATTTTTACTAATAAAATAGTCGTTTTTACTTTAGTTATTTTTTACTACGTAAATAGTTAAAGTTTGACTAATTTAAGATTAGTCACCATCTTTGACTATTTCTGAGAGTTAAAAGTAACTAATTAATCGTTTGCGGCCAACAACAAAGTATTATTTTAATTAAATGCACACCTATAGGCTCCATGGTTAAATGGCCCATAAAATCAAACAAAGATGCAAACAGTTTAGCTCAAAACAGCAACACAAATAATATATTCAACTTTAAAATATTATATAATTTTTATAAGAGCGGCTAATAGCCACATTGGTTATGACAACAACTTGACAAGTTTGACAAGTGACAGACCCAAAGAACAGACCTGAGTTCAATACCCGGCTGGGTCAAAACTTTAAATTTAAATCTACTAATTTGACTATTTTATTCAGTAGAATTTGACTAATTATTAGTGACTGCTTTTTCGCTATGACAATTTATCAAATATAACTTATAATTAGTTAATTTTGACTAATTCATTTTAAGAGAGTAAGTTATGTGAGACTGAAATGCTGAATATTACCGAATTACTGCCGATACTGCCCATGTACTGACGAAGTACTGCATGTACTGCCGAAGTACTGCTCCAGTACTGCCTATATTGCCTATTTACAGCTGCATACTGCCGATACTGTCGAAGTATTGCCGTCACTGCCTTTGTACTGCATAAAATTTGTGCACGTATTGCCGACAGTGGTTGACCCCTCGCCCGTCTGTATTTATTTACTCATCCAGCTCATATTAGCTTAATTAAGCAATATTAGCTTAATTAAGCTTAAGCAATGATTAGAAAATTTAGTACCTACATACGTATTTTAAAAACTCAATAGCCACAAAATTAATTTTTTTATGGGTTTTTTTTCTTTCTGTTTACTCAATTAGGACAAGTTCAGCAGATGTCAAATGTTTAACAATAAAAATGGCTTTAAATTCTTCTTTATGTTCGTCGTAGATAAAGTATAGTAAGCATGCAACTCGTTTTATAAACTTCTCTAGACACTCGCTTGCAAGCTTCGCTCGTGCCTAATAAAACACGCGTGTTTGTGTTTGTACGTAACTAAAATGGCATTTACGAGGGCATTTATAAAACTTGTTACATAATATCCTATTAAGATAATAATAAGTACCTAACTACCTACCTATTTGTCGTAGAAAAAGTATAGTAGGTATGCAACTCGTTTATAAACTTTTCTAGACACTCATTAATTTAAGCACTGGCTCGCAAGCTCGCTCGTGCCTAAATGAAATTCGTGTCTAAAATGGCGTTTATCAAACTTGATACCCATACAGCACAAGATGTCCATTGGACGTCAAATGGACTTACATTGGACGTTTGGATGTACAATGGTCGTCCGCTGGACGTCCAATGGATATATGTGCTGTCTGGTACCTATAGGTACTATAAATTTCCGTTGGAACCCCTAACTATACTGCCGTACTAAGCGCAGAAGCGGTAATTAACATAATGGCTGTCATGAGATATTGGTACTTTTATGTTAATAGCTCTGCCAACTCAGTTTGGTAACAGACACTGCTAAAAATAACTTGATATTTCAATCATTTACTGACAAAATACCGATTTAATACCTTATTAAAGTAGAGATTTTTACCCCTAGGTTCATATTACGGAAAAATGTCAATTTCCTTTAAATGTGCAGTTACCGCTTCTGCGCTTAGGACGGCAGTATAGGTATAAGTAGGTATACTTTGCAATGCCACATTATTCACTACTGCAGGTACTTAATATATAGGTACCTATATACGTATATTAAACTAGTACTAGTACCTACAAGTCATAGAAATAATACTCAGAATCATATCAATGATACAAGATCAAAGCCTTTGCAAAATTTATTTCTGACTTCATAATATTAATTACGGACCGTAATTTACATTAGGTAACGTAAATATAGTTCCTTTATATACCTAGGAACAATAACAAATTATTTAATTTACTGCCTGGATTTAGGATAGCTACCTAGGTAGGTATGTGCCAATTAATTCTCTGAAGTTACAAAATAATCCAGATAAGGTATTAATCTTTTTTTGTCAAACTGGCATGGTTTCCAATAACAATAGAACACTTACTTTTGTGATTTGGTATGAAAGGACTTGTTGGGGGTACTCCTCCAACAGCTTGTGCATACGTTGGGGGTGCTGCCGGTGGAGGACCGTACGGTGGTGGTGCGGACGAATATTTACTCATATTTATTTACTTTAAAATATCCAGTAGACACTTCACTAAACACACTTTCTAAATCTCCAGTAAATCACGACTGTTAAAGCAACCTGATGCTAAATTTAACTTTAACTGACCTAATAAAATTGAATTAGGTTAATCTCGTCACAAAACACGTATTTACACAAGAAAAGGAAACACGTTGCCCCGAAAGCTGAAAGAAAACTAAGGTCAGCTCTGCAAGCTGCCGAGCGCCAGAACCAGGGTGGCCAGAACATTAGGATATGGTAGCGGTAAACCTTTCATAAAAACAATGATGTAATAACTTTCTCATGGAGAATATTAATGTTTTGGATTGACTACCTGCTAAGGGTATATTTGTGTGCATTTCATTAATATTTTTAAACGTTTCTAATTTTAAGAAATAATTAATTGAATAAATAAGTTTAATTCGTATTTTTGAAGGATTTGTTGACAGAGGGCGACATTATATGTAAACAAAGTTAATGTACAGAAATCCACAAAGTTAATGTACAGAAATCTATAATAAGTTTAGAAAATTGTTGATAGATGTCCACAAAAAATATTAAAAACACATACTTCCAAGTATGTGATTAAAAAAACTATTTATTTATTAAACTTTATTATATTTTTAATTAAAGAAAAAAATTAAATTTTCTATTAAAAAATATAATCGAACGTAATTGTTTATTGCCAACATAACAAAGTAAAATATTTTCATTTGACTTTTGACATTCAGCGAGGAAGCATCTCAAGCTGGGTTGTTTACAAAAATACGAAAGTCTACTGTTTAGGGATGGTCTTATAATTTTTTCTGAAATCGTTGTGATAAATAGGCCAAAATGGACAATAATTACGTTCAAATAAAGGACATGAGACCTGGTTTAAAAAATATAAATGTAGTGTTTATAGTGCTCGAGGTCAGCCACCCCACCCTAACGAAGGAAAACCGCGAAGTTCGAACTTTTAAAGTGGCAGACTCTAGTGGAAGTATAAACGCAAGTGTTTGGGACGAGCCGGGACAATTACTTATTCCCGGTGATATAGTTAAGTTGACAAAGGGCTATGTGTCGGTATGGAGAAACTGTCTTACACTATACACATCAAAAGGGGGTGACTTACAAAAAATGGGCGAATTCTGTATGGTATTCAACGAGCAGCTTAATATGAGCGAACCTAATCAAGTGCCACCTATGCCTTCAGGTTGCGGGCCACCAAATAGTATGCCTTTAAATAACGGAACAAACAATGGAGCAGGACGAGTGGGACCACCTGCAGCCCCAGCAACTGTTACCACTTCAGTACCAATACATAATAACACTGCCGGACCAGCCAAACCAACTTCCAGTAATACAAGTAGAAATACTGGGAATGGGAATCCATCTTCACAACAAAGTGAGAGTCAAAAAAGACCAAGGGGCTCTCGGGGAGGACAGCACAGGAATCGACATAATAGAACTTGATAGCTTTAAGATTTAATATTAGGTTTTTTTTGTTAAGAAATTGTGATAAAAGACAGTCTATTTTATAAATAAGTGAATAAAAAGAAAAGTATCTACCTACCTATTAATACTACTTTTTTTTAAGTAATTTTCTTTTTTGGAGATATTTATTTATAAAGGCTCTTAGGTAGGTAAATTACTTTAATAATAATAATATTTTTTTTTAACTTACCATCTTTAATCCCTTTTCAAATTATAAAAAAAAATTAAATTGTATGATTGACTTAATAGCATAATACATAATAACCCGGACAACAATCGGGATTTCCTGGTGAAGTCATGATGATATCACAACGTGATTTTTTTTTATCACGCCGTGATATCCTGAGTGCATACACATGCTTCATCACAGTGATATAAAGTAGAACTCACGGTGTGATATTTTCAAAATTTGCGCATGCGTATGAGCCCTGCGAACTGCGAATTTAAAACCTACCCGGACAACATTCGTGATATTCATACGAACATCACGTCGTGATTTTCACAAATTTTATTCATACCGATATCATATGGAATTCACCGCGTAATAAATGAAAATCATACGAACGTCACGTCGTGATTTTCACAAATTTTAGTCATACGGACATCATCCGGATGTCACTGCGTCAGAAATGAAAATCATGTCGTGATTTTATATGCCATCGCTGTTTGCGATTGACCGTTGGCACAAAAAATCATGTCGTGATTTTTTATGCCAACGGTGTTTGGATAATCATTTTTGCACCACGTTCGTACAGTAAGAGAAAAATTATGTTGAATCAACAGTTTTTGCGGTTAAATACATTTAATATTTTCTTGGATTTAAATTAACTATATATAATTTAAATCCAAGAAAATATTGAATGTTAAACTGTTGATTCAATTGTTAACATACTTTTTCTTTCAATGTACGAATGTGTCGCAAAAATGAATATCCAAACATGTCGGTGGACCGAAGGAATAAAAAATCATGTCGTGATTTTTTATGATCAAACACCGATAGCATAACAAATCATGTCGTGATTTTTTATGCCATCGGTGTTTGGATATTTATTTTTGCGCCACATTCGTACATTGAGAGAAAAAGCTTTTTACTACCTACATATATTGAATCAACAGTTTTTGTGGTTAAATACATTTATTAATTTTCTTGGATTTAAATTAACTATATATATATATAGATTTTGCGGTTAAATACATTTAATATTTTCTTGGATTTAAATTAACTATATATAGTTAATTTAAATCCAAGAAAATATTAAATGTATTTAACCGGAAAAACTGTTGATTCAACACAATTTTTCTCTTAGTGTACGAACGAAGCGCAAAAATGATTATCCATACACCGTTGGCATAAAAAATCGCGACATGATTTTTTGTGCCATCGGTCAATCGCAAACAGCGATGGCATAAAAAATCACGACATGATTTTCATTTCTCACGCAGTGACATCCGGATGATGTCCGTATGAATAAAATTTGTGAAAATCACGACGTGACGTTCGTATGATTTTCATTTATCACGAGGTGACTTCCGTATGATATCAGTATGAATAAAATTTGTGAAAATCACGACATGATGTTCGTATGAATATCACGATTGTTGTCCGGGAAATATAGTATTATACTGTATATGGTATTACCTAGCATATAAAAAGTAAAAATATGTATTATTAAATTAATGCAAACTTTTTTATAAGGAAAATAGCTTTAGTTAAAAAAGTATAGGTACCTATATGTTGTTGATTATTACGGACAACATTTCGTTGATTCGTTAATTTTTCTACGATTTTGGCTTTGTTAACTAAACTTAAGTTTAGTTTAAGATAAGTAATTTATTAAGAAATAATTTATTTTTTGCTACTTACTATTATAGTATGTAGCAAAAAATAAATTATTTCTTAATAAATTACTTATCTTATCTTAAGAGGCCTATTCCCTTTCGCTAAACATGCATGTTCATGAACTACGTATGTTTCGTAACATATGAGCCTATTCCCTTTCAATTATTTCGTCTATAGACGCATGCGCTCGAAGAATTTCTTAAACATCCATGTTTATAAACATCATCGGTGTTAAAATGGCTATTCCGTTTCCAAAATTCGATGTTTGGTGAACATACATGATGTTTGAAAACGTATGTTTACGAACGCTTGCCTAAGAGGTGCTGTTAAGGTTTTTTATCTTGCATTAATCATAAATTGCGGCGATGTTTGGTACAGTATACAGTACAGTATCATTATCAAGCATAGTAATTATAAATTAATTACTTTTTCATAATTAATACCTAATTAATTATAATTATAAATGATAAATAATTAAATAATCATATAAGGTTTTACACCAAACAAATAATAATATATTTTTTGGTAATTTTAAAAATATGTTTGATTTGTTTTTTAATTATTAAAATGTATTTCCTAATTATAATACTATAGTAAAATTGTATTCTATAGAATACAAATTTTGCTTTACTAATTTTTTTTTATATAATTTTATTATATAATAATAAATATTTATTTAGAGAAAAACAGAAGATTAAAAAAATCTGAGTGTGAAGAGAGAATTTGGGGGGAGGAAGGTCAAGACTTATATGTTACAAGAGTGTCTAAAAACGACCTCTAAAACTATATATATATACTTATTGGTAGAATAAAAAATAACTTGGAAAAATATATTTTATTAAAAAAATACAACAAATATAAAATATAAAATACCTATGTAATATTATTACTCAAAAATATAGACAAAATATTAGTCAAAGAAAAGTATAACTAATAAAATACAAAAAAATATGCATCTAAAAACTATTTTTCTTCACATGGGAGCTAAAACTTTTTGGTTTAATTTTAAAATCTTTTAGGTTTTATCAATACCTTGTAAAACCTCTACACCTTCACTACTCGTCAGAGTTTGAGTTGGACTTTCTCTTTATGCGTCCCTGTTGTAGAAGGCACCCTTCCACCCGAACTTAAAGGCTGGTCAATGAAGAGTTCCAACGATGGTATTACCTCCACCTTACCCTCCACCACTAACTTTCACAGCGCTTCCTCTATTAGGGCTAGTAATTTATCCTTAAAGTAATTAAGTTGTTTTACTGGCTCCCCGACATTGCCAGTCTCCATGTGAGAAATGCGTAGTTTTCTTGCCATTTTCAATACACTAAAAGTGTGTAAAAATAAGTAACAAATAATTATTTTAAGATATTTTATGATTACCCTTTTCCATATAAGGATGGCCCCGCCAGAAGATCTGTGCTTTGGCTATTTCAGCATAAAACGTTTTTCCCAAGTAGGTATTTTTAGAATTTGTGGATTTTCCCAAATTGTTTTTAAGTTCATTTAATATATTAAATATCACCAATGATGTTTAAAACAATTATCTAACAAAATTTTAGTTTAGTCTGCGACTTTTAGGTTATAAAACTAAGAAACTCCCTGTCCTAAAAACATTTATCGCTGTTCAGAAAGATTCAAGGTCAAGACTCTCAACATATGAGAAACGGAATACCCCTAAACATAGGTAATGTTTGGCTTGTCGTTGGGTGAACATACATGTTAAGAAATCGATGTTTACGAACAGCAAGAAAGGGAATAGGCCTCTAAACTTCAGTTTAGTTAACAAAGCCAAAATAAATGCATACTGTTTATTACCTAGTAGGTGTAAGTATTTTGCAGGCAGTTATACTGTGTATACCTACTACCGTATACGGTATATACCTAGTATAATATTACTACCGTAGTAATACCTACTCGTCGTGTATACCTTTTCTATGGTGTATACATAAGGTGACCATCCGTCCTGGTTTACCCAGGACAGGTTCTGGTTTTTACTCATGTGTCCTGGTTTCAATTGTGTACTGGTTTTGTCCTGGTTTCGCAGATTCGGTCCTGGTTTGTACTCATTTTTTAATAAAAAAAATTTTTATGATTGAGCCATTATTTGCACATCTCTAATATCGTCGGATCGGAGTTGCAAGCATGCTTGTATCTAGAACGCACGGAACTCTACAGTTTTCTTTCTCTTTCCTGCTAAACGATCGTTAAAATACTCTGTCGCACTTTAATCTAGTGACTTTTTGTCGTGACCTCGCAATCTAGTTACTTTTATTTATTTTTAAATGATGGTGTAATAACATTGGTATTGATATATTATTATTCTATGGGTTATTTGTTGGTTAGGTATTATGTTTACCGGCGTTTTTGTGTTGTCTAGGAAATTCCTAGTAGAATAATATATTAATACAATATATGGAATAAATACTAATAATTACTGGTATGTATTACTTTAATTGAATTTGATTTGCCTCTTTCAATTTTATTAATAATATTAATGGAAATAATAATCTTGTTAAGTTCAATATTGTAATTATTGTATATTTTTAGCAGCTGACTCCTAAACTAAATACCATGTCGGCCTCAAATCCAAAAAAAAAGAGGAGGCAATGCTCTTTTAACTCAGAACTACAACAAAAATTTCCATTTTTGAGAAAAATATCTGAAGACTGTGCCAGGGTCAAGTGCAATATATGCGGTTCGTCATTCTCTATTGCAAACAGTGGTATAAAGGATTTACAAGACCATATCAAGACAATAAAGCATAAATCATCAGTAGCCAGCACATCAGGATGCCAGCAAGTGGTAAATTATTATAAAAAAAAAACATTTACACATGATGAGGCAAAACTGGCTGCCTCAGAAGGTACTTGGGTCTACCACATCATAAAACATAATCAGAGTTTCAGATCTAATGATTGCACTTCTCGACTAATTCAAAAAATATTCGAGGCAAAATATTCATGTGCCAGAACAAAAAGTGAGGCCATAGTTTGTCAAGTTTTTGCACCCTTTGCAGAACAACTATTGAAAGAAGATTTGTCAAAAGCAAATTTTATTACGATATGCACTGATGCATCAAACCATAAACATATTAAACTGATGCCTATCATTGTTAGATATTTTCTACCAGAAGCAGGGGTTCAGTTAAAAATATTACAAGTAAAAGACTTACCGGGAGAAACTTCAGATATAATAAGTGACTACATATTGGAAACTGTGACCAATTTTAATTTAAATGATAAAGTTTTGGCCTTATGTACTGATAACACCAATAGCAATTTTGGTGGTGTTGCTCGAAATGGAGTAAATAATGTTTTTTACAAAGTTAAATGTAAATTAAACAATGCTTCGATTGTTGGTGTGGGTTGTATGGCCCACATAGTCAATAATTGTATCAAGACTGCTTGTGATACATTACCAGTAGACATTGAAGCTTTAATTGTAAAAATTTATAGCCATTTTTATATTTATACAGTTAGAGTAGAGAAACTGAAAGAGTTTTGTGAATTTGTTGGTACTGAGTACAAGAACATGTTAGGTTACAGCAATACACGATGGTTAGCATTACTTCCTGCACTTGAACGAGTTTTACAACAGTATGAAGCATTGAAGTCCTATTTTTTATCAATTGATAAGTGCCCAGTACTAATTAAAAACTATTTTAATAATCCTGAAACTGAAATCTGGTTATATTTTGCACATAATATAGCAGATTTATTTCACAAAACTATTTTAAAATTAGAAGGCGAAAAAACGTCCTTTATTGAAACCTGTAGAGTTTATAATGAACTCATTGAAAAATTAGAAAAACGACGAGATGAAAATTTTCGCACCTTGTCCTTCAAAATGATGTTAAATTCGTTAGTACGAGATGGTAGCATATGTGAACATTCAATAGAAAAAAACATTTTTGAATTTTATGTCACAGCTATTGATTATTTAAAACAGTGGAAAAGTCCGGATAGTGATAATTTTCAAAAGTTCAATTGGATTTTGTTAAACAAAATACCTACCTGAATTTGAGGAAATTCAGGAGTGCTTAGAATATATTAATAATTCCAGAAGGAAAGATGGCATTGATGAAAATGATCTCTTTGACGAAGTTACATGTCTCAAGAAGTTTGTTGTTCAAGAAAAACTTGATTCTTGGAAAGAGAATAAGACAAGGGTTGGATCCAAATGGCAAGAGATCATTAAATTCTTTAATAATAATGATTATCCAATTACAAATATGGTTTATATTTTGGAGTATTGTATGTGTTTACCTGGCACCAATGCACAAGCAGAAAGGGTGTTTAGTCATGTTAATAATATATGGAGCTGTGATAAGACTCAATTAAAAGTGGAAACCTTAAAAAGTATCTTAACTACCAAATTAAATTTTGATTTAGACTGTGGTGATTTTTATAAATTATTACTCACAGAGCCAAAGATTTTGGAGGCAATCCACTCCTCAAAAAAGTATAGAGCACTGATTTCGAGCTAGTCTTGTTTTATTATTTGTTATGTTTTAAATGAGGTATATTCATTATTTGATTTTGTTTTAAATGTTTAATGCTTTTTTATTATTTATTTTATTTATATTTTATTTTTTTAGAATTTTCATTTTTTTTTCAATTAAAAAACATTAAACAAAATAAGTTTCGTTTGTTTTTTTTGAAAGGGGGGGGGGGCATGCTGCGTGTATGTCGGACAGACTCTGTCCTGGTTTTTCATTAAAGAAAAATGGTCACAGTATACACCCATAGGTAGGTATGTGACGTTTTTGTATACCTAATACAGAAAATATACAAACACCCTGAATAAACCTGCGAAAAAATATTATTATAATTAGCTTCAAATTGCTTAAAAATAAAGTTAATTACTTGATAATAATTTAAAAGTGCTTATCTTTCAAATATTTATCAATAACACTTCCTTTTCATTTTATTTTACTACAAAACAAGCTTTTGTGTGATTACCTAGGTGAGTTAAACATAAAACTACATTACCTATTTGGAATTTTAAAAATAAATAGACCCTATGTCTTATAGGTCTATGGTAAATATTTAATTATTTGAATTTTATAAGAAAGTTAACTACGAATTGGTGTTCTCTGGTTCCCAACCACTGGTTGGTAATCTTCTTTATCTCTGGTTGGTACAATGGGAAACTGTATTATCTATAAGCATTGTCAAATTTTGTAATATAAGTTGTTTACACGTCTTCAATTGTCAATGTCATTATCGTATGTAAATAGAAAATTCACAAACATATTTTGCATTTCAAAACGTAATTAAAATGGGGTAAAATTAATTAAAGTGCAAATAACTTGTAGTTTATTTATAACCTTAAATGCGTGCAATATGTCTAATGTACAAAAATTAAAATATTCCTTAGTAGAAAATGAAATAGATGAGACTGAAACTGTAGATTTCGAACCAATGAAACGAAAATTCTGTTCGCCGACCTGTGTTAAAGCATCAATATTTACCTCAATACTTATAGGGGCCTATTACATCCCATCCATAGGTTTAACATTTTATCAACGATGGTTCCTACAGGTAGATATACTAAATAAACTTATAAATTTGGTGAAACTAAAGCATTTTTTTAGACCTTTCAATTTCCCTTAATAACAGTTATAGTACATATGTCAGTGAAGTTTTTGCTATCTGTATTAATAAGGTTTATTTTGGTGAGGCAAACAAAGAGGGAGAATGCTGTTATGGAATGGAAAGATCATTTATTACAAGTTGCCCCCACTGGCTTTTTTAGTGGGATAGATATAGGATTTTCTAATTGGGGCCTTGAGCTCATAACTATATCTCTGTAAGTTTAACAATGTTTAAATATGTGCATCCTGCTAATACCTCTGTCACAATAGTGGTAATGTTATGGTACACTGTTAATAATTATTGTGAACACTATTAGGTGATTTCAATGTTTTGCGTAGTAACAGTGTGCCATAACATTACCACTATTGTGACAGAGGTATAACACACTTCGTCACCCTATTATAACAAGGTTGTATGTTAAAAAAAACCGAAATATTTAAGTCTATATTTCTACAGGATTATATGTGGCCTATCCCAGGTAGCATACTGACGTCTGCTGACGTTTAAATGACGTCATCTGACGTCATTTAAACGTCAGCAGACGTCAGTGTGCTACCTGGGATGCTTCACATACCACTTAAAAATAATTCTATAGAATGTATATTCTATGTATACATATATAAAGAGTTATTTTCAAGTTGTATATCAAGGGTGGATTACATAAAACCTTGTTATATTAGGGTGATGACTTGTATACCTTGGCTTCTAGGGGCCTCAATTATAACTAGCTAAATAGTGTTCTTGCTTGACAGGCCTGGTTTTGTCTAGGTTTAACAGATTTTAAAGTCATGTGTCTACTTTTACAAGTGCTCAAGACTGTTTCTACTGTCATGGCCCTTTAGCTCTAGTTTTTTAGAAACCCTTTTTATTAACCAAAATTATTAGATTTGCTAAAACACATTTTATATGAATACCTTAATTTTTTGGAAACCTTTTTTATTAGCCATATTTACAGCTGTTTTATACAAAACTTTTATTAGATTTGCTAAGTTTTATTACATTTGTTGATGGCAGAGAATGTATTAACTTGGCATTCTTAGGCTTGTGCTTAAATTTGAATATTTATCTAGCTTAAGTTGACATTCATAACTTTTATCCAACTTAACTTAAAATTCTCGATACATGTAACTGCAGTTATATTTGGTTTAAGTTGACATTATTAAAACAGTTATATCTAGATTTAGTTTATGGGCATTTTTAAGCTAGTTGATGCGCTGGTTTTATTTCATATTCTTAAGAGACATTTAATTGACATTCTTAAGTTAAATTTTACTTCTTTAAAAATGTAGCTAGCTTAACAGTTATAGACATATTGAGTTGACATTTTGTTAACTTTGTAGAACCTTAAATGTTTATTTTTGTGCCATTTAAAGTTTAGTTTAAGTAGGTATATTTTATTTTGATAAAAAAGTTAGGTACCTCTTGATGTTTTTTTATTTTTAACTTTAAGATCAATTAAATTAGTTTAAGAAAACAATGAAATTTAACTTTAACCCATAGGGCAAAAAAGCTACTCTAATGATATATTTTTAAATCTTATAGTAATTTTAACTACTAACTATAAACAATAACATAACTATATACAGGCCCGTTCCTGGGGTGTCTGGCGCCTGCGTGCAGCATTCGTTGGTGCGCCCCTTTTAGGTATATTTAAATATAATACATTAAATATTTGAATTTTAAGCCGTAAAATTTAAAAAATATATATTTTGAGACAAACTGGCAATATGTAATTGAAAATGTAAAAAAACCGCTTAAATTAAGTATAAAAAATATTTATTAAATTACCAAACAAACAAGTAATATCATAAGGGCATCTATTTTTTCGAAAAAAAATCGAAAAAACACGTTGCTAAGTAATATTTTAACAAGTAGCATGAGTGCTGGTGGCAACAAAAATCCGAGTCGAAGACGAGGATTTTTGCACCTGCACGAATGCATTTTGTTAAAAAATATTACTTAGCATTGTGTTTTAAAGATTTTTTTCACAGGAAAAGTTAGATGCCCGAATGGTATTTGACAAGACTATTTCATGAGTAACAGTTAACAATTAAAATATAAATTGCAATTTTTGGTGACAACAGCTGTCAAGTTTTGCCGCGGGTAAACTCGAAAAAACTGCTGACAGGTGCTGTCATACAGTTTTTCCACCTAGAAACCATTTGTAGTTCAAAATGCGCGTTTGTGATTGGTGGAAATTAAGACGAGGGAAATAGTCAGTGATAAAAATACTCTAAAGAAAACAAAAAAAAACAATCTAAACAATATAATAACTACAACTGGTTTTTAGTGACGTACTCTATAAAAATGACTAGTTTTCAAAGTAAAAAAGCAGCCACTAATAACTTTAGTCCACAGCAATTTGTATCCCGGGCATTAAACAGCTTATTATTATGTAAAATTGTCCCCTAAATCCGAAAATACCGTCAAAAATTATAAAAGTAAATCAGTTTTTAAGATATAGTCAGTCAATACCATATTATATAGAAAATTTACTAAAACTCAAAAACGTTCTACTTTTATAACTTTTGACAACATTTTCGGATTCAGCGGACAATTTTACATAGGAGTTGACTGCTAAATATCCGGGATACTAATTGCTATTGACAATAATTATTAGTCGCTGCTTTTTCGCTATTGCAATTGGACTAATTGAATTAGTCATTTTTCACTAATTCTATTTTAGAGAGTTACTACTGTGCTACCGTCAACTGCAAACAAATACTAAAGATAATATGACCATTTCTCTCCTTTTATTTTGATCCTCATATCAAAACAAAATAAGCAGCCAATATCAAAGCGGCAAAAGGCGCTTTATAGCGACCAAAAATTAGATCGGCCGACGCAAAAAAGGCAGAAACCTTTATCCAATGTATGTTTAAGTATCATATGCAAGAAAGTTTATGGTTACAAAGTACTGATTGACTCTTAGATTTTGCGCCCCCGAAATGTTGCGCCTGCGTGCGTGCACGCACTGCACGCTCGCCAGGAACGGGCCTGACTATATATAGACAAGAGTCTATACAGTGCTTGCAATATCAACTCCGACCGCACTGGAAAGGACGGCTGTTCAATACCCGCGTGAAAAGAACAAGGATAGAACGCCAAATAGAATTTGATTGGCCAGCCGGCAGGCTACGACAACGCATACCCATCGCGCACCTCGCAGCGTGCTTGACACGGGGATATCAGAACGAGAACTGCAGTGGTGCCAGCAAGAGGTAGTAATTTTAGTGAAAAAGATTATTTAATTAAAAAATGTACACGTTGGAACAAAAAGTTCAGATTTTAATCTGGTATTTTGCTGGTAATTCCCCAAAAACTTAATGTCTGGGCGGGTATTTTGGGCGACCGAATAATTGGCCCATTTTTTATAAATGGGAATTTAAATGGCGCTAGGTATTTAAATCTCTTAAGAGACCAAATAGTTCCCGCGCTTCAAAATTTAGACGGAGTTAACATCGAAAACGTATGGTTTCAGCAGGACGGTTGCCCCGCACATAATACGATGGCTGTTCGGGAATTCCTTTCCGACACTTTTGGACCTCGTCTTATTATGGGTCGAGGAGGAATTCTCTGGCCAGCTAGATCACCGGACTTGGCGCCGTGTGATTTTTTTTTGTGGGGGTACCTCAAGTCGAAGCTGTACGTTTTCCAGGAAGATCGGGCTAATAACCTCAATGATTTAGGAATCCGCATAACTAATTTGTTGGGGGATATTAGTCCAGAAGTCCTAGCTAATGTGCGTGGGAATTTTTATAATAGGTTAGGCTATTGTTTGGCTGCCTATGGGGGCTTGTTCGAACATTTTATTTAATTTTTGAGTTTATTTATTTTTATTATTTATTTTTAGAGTTTTATTTTTATTTAGTTTTATTTTTATTTATAGTTATTTTTATTCAGAATTATTTTTTATTTGAGAAATCTTTTTTATTAAGAATACTATTTTTGTTGTTGCCCTAGTTCTCAAGGAAAAAATCAAAAAATTTTATTTTTAGGATTCGGGTATAAAATATTTAAAAAGAAAATTAAAATGTGCATCTACACTCTTACGCAGTTTGCTTAACACTAAATAATTTAGTCTAATCCAGCCAGATTTGACCTCGCTTACAATTCGCACGCATCCGGCAGCCGGCTCTGGCCAATCAAATTCTATTTGGCGGTCTATCCTTGTTCTTTTCACGCGGGTATTGAACAGCCGTCCTTTCCAGTGCGGTCGGAGTTGATATTGCAAGCACTGTATATATATGTATATTAGGGTGGGCCAAAAAAAACTTTTAATTTTCTTTTCTTTAGCTACCATGAAAATATCGTCCAAGATGACGAAAAAAAAATTCTGATAAAGTTTTAGCTCTTAATATAAGAGGTGGCTCATCGCGATTTTTTATTTTCCATTTAAATAACACGGGAAAAATAATTTTTTTTGTTTGGAATTTTATTGCGTTTTAACGAATCAGTGAGTTGTAAAAATCAATACATATTCTTGTAGGGAATTGAACGATCTACAAAAAAGATCTCATATGATTTTTTGCATAGTCGACTCTTTTAAAAGTTATTTGAGGTTAAAGTTCAAGTTCAAATAGTAAATGATGACTTTTATACAGAAAGATTTCTGTACGAAGTCTGTTGAAAAACATCTTACTGAGGTCACAATATGACATCTTAGAGAAATCATTTTTAGGAGCTCAAGATTAAGAGTTCTTGATGAATTCATAAATAAGAAGTAAATTTTTTAACATATTAAAGTATCTTTTTTTCTGACCTCTTATTGGAATCAAAATTAGAAGCTACTATAGTACCCTTATAAGGACAGGTATCATAAATAAGACTTTAGTTATATGATATCTTACAGTATTCTCTTTTCTTACTTCTTACTGAAATCATATTATTAACTCTTTAAGACGTCAACATGGAGACGTCACATTTATGACATTTTAAAGCGATTCTTTCTTCTCACCGCTGTAACTGCTTGTGTTTGATATAAGAAGCGGCGAAGTAGAATTTAGAGCGTGCTTCATACCAAACGGTCTTAGACCTAGGTAAACGGCTACCCGATACTCACGAGCTCCAAAAGAGGAAACAGGCCGTCTGTCGGTGCCGGTGAAGAACACGCTTAAATTTAAACAAAAGTGAGACGAAGTAATCGCAATTCCTAAAATAAGCGAATACGAGCAAATTATTAAAATGATTTTAATAAAATCCATTTAACAAATT